TATCAAATGTCTTTTCTGCATCTATTGAGATGATCATATGGTTTTTGTCCTTGACTCTGTTAATACAGTGTATTACATTTATTGATTTATGGATGGTGAACCATCCTTGCATCCCTGGGATAAATCCAACTTGGTCAGGGTGTATGATCTCCTTGATGACCTTCTGTATTCTGTTTGTAAGTATCTTGTTGAGGATTTTTGCATCTATGTTCATAAGGGAGATTGGTCTGTAGTTCTCTTTTTGGGTTGGGTCTTTCCCTGGCTTTAGAATCAAAGTAACACTTGCTTCCAGGAAAGAATTTGGAAGCCTTGCTTCCCTTTCAATTTCCTTGATGAGTTTAAAGAGTAATGGTGGTAGTTCCTCTTTAAACATCTTGTAGAATTCAGCAGTGAAGCCATCAGGACCTGTGCTTTTCTTTGTTGGTAAATTTTTTATTACATTTTCAATTTCACTCATTATTATTGGGGTGTTTAGAATTTCTATATCTTCTTCATTTAATTTTGGCAATTCGTATGTATCTAGGAATCTGTCCATTTCTTCTGTGTTCTCCATTTTATTACAGTACATGTTCTCAAAGTAGGTATTGATGGTCCTCTGAATTTCTGCTGAATCTGTTGTGGCTTCACCTGCTTCATTCTTAATTGCACGGATTTTGAGCCTTTTCTTTCCTTTTTTTGATAAGGTTGGCTAAAGGTTTATCAATTTTATTTATTCTTTCAATAAACCAGCTCTTCAATTCATTGATTTTTTTGTATCATTTGCTTAGTCTCCATTGCATTGATTTCTGCTCAGATCTTTATAATTTCCTTTCTTGTACAAGCTTTGCTTTTGTTATGCTCTGTTCTAGGAGCTTGAGGTTCTGCATTAGGTTATTTAACTGAGTTCTCTCTGTTGTCCTAATATGGGTGTTCACTGCTATGAATTTCTGCATAGAACTGCTTTCATTGCATCCCACAGATTCCTGTATGTTGTACTGGCATTATCATTTACTTGTAGAAACTGTCAAATTTCTTCTTTAATTTCCTCTGTGACCCATTGGTTGTTTGGGAGGGTGTTATTCAATTTCCACGTGTTTGTGGGTGTTCTACAGTTTCTTATGTTATTGATCACCAATTTTATTGCACTATCATCTGATAATATACAGGGAATAACTTCAATTCTTTTACATTTACTTAGATTTGCCCTATGAGCTAGTATGTGATCTATTTTGGAGAATAACCCATGTGCAGTTGAAAAGAATGTGTATTCTGATTTTGTGGGGTGGAACACTCTACAAACATATATTAAGTCCATTTGCTCAATAGCTTGGTTCAGTTCTAAAATTTCATTGCTAATGTTTTTCCTAGATGATCTATCTATTTGTGATAGAGGGGTGTTGAGGTCCCCCACTACAATTATGTTATTGTTTATTTGGTTTTTCATGTCCATTAATATTTGTTTTGTATAGTTGGGGGCATTCATATTTGGTGCATGAATATTTAGGGTTGTCATTTCTTCCTCTGGGATTGTTTTCTTCACAAGAATGTAGTGACCATCTTTGTCTCTCTTAATTAGTTTTGGTTTGAAATCTACTTTATCTGCAAATAAGATTGCTACCCCTGCTTTTTTCTGGATTCCTGTCACATGGAGAAATGTTTTCCATCCTTTTACTTTCAGTCTATGAATATTCTTTTGAGTTAAGTGTGTTTCTTGTATACAGCATATTGCTGGGTTTTGCTTCTTAATCCATTCTGTCAGTCTATTTCTTTTGATTGGTGAAATGAGGCCATTAACATTGATAGTTATAATTGAGAGATATTGACTCATTCTTGCCATGATGTTTTATTGTTGTTGGCTCTTTTATTTCTTATTTTTGCCCCTTTCCCTTTAGAACCTTACCTTGCATGGTGTCTTCTCTCTGTTGGCCCTCATGGAGTTGTGACCCTTATTGTATTTTTGTAGGATATTGCTTAGAATTGTTTGGAGTGCTGGTTTGGTGTTCACAAAACTTCTCCGGTGTTCTTTGTCATGGAAGTATCTAATTTCCCCATCGATTATGAAAGATAATTTTGCCAGGTACAACAGTCTAGGTTGAAAGTTATTTTCTTTTAGGGCTTGAAAAACTTCACTCCAGGCTCTCCTTGATTTGAGGGTTTGTGTTGAGAAGTCTGCTGTGATTCTGATGGGCTTTCCTTTGTAGGTGATTT